TCCTTGTGTGATTATGCTTCAAGAGCCCTTTTCGCTAATTGACGATTCCAGTCCATCTCAGTTTCCATGGTCTTTGTCCCTCAGTGTAATGCCTCCCAAGTGAGAGGGAGATCCCTGTTGATGGYGATGGTTGCTATCTGTTCCAYCGTCAGTCGTTCATCATCGCAGTACCTTTCCGTTTCCCYGTCAAAGCAAATGCAACATGCATGAGGATGCACAGTAGTTATCCTCGTCTTCCGACGCCCCAAAAGTCCCTTCACAGGGTGCTCTTGAAAGTACTCTTTCCGCGAGATGATGGTCTTCTTGGCTCTATTCTTCTCCTCCGCCTTGCTGTTTTTCCCATCATCCCTGACAAACTTGATGCCGTCTCTCGTTCCTCTGTCTATGCAAAGCGCACACTCCGCTGGATGCTTACCAGTGTGGACCTTGAGACCCAGCGCAGCCTTCTGAATCAGATTCGAAGACGAACCCGCTTCCCCAAGACCCTTGCGGAAGCTGGCAGTGGCCTTCAACGCCCATGCAGAAGCCCTCGCTCGAACGGCCCYCCCCATCGCATCCCCCCCCTGCCTGGGTCCGTARCCTGGCTGAAAAACCCAGTGCCTTTGTGATACCCTTTCAACGTACGGGTTGTAGTGGTCGCTGCCGTCTGTTCCGTTCAAGTAACGCTCGTACACAGTMCCGCGTTCCGAGTCTGATACATAGCGGCTGTTCGCGAAGGTCACCCAATWAGGCTTTACCCTCAGGTCGGGATGGAGGGCGTCCGCTCGCTTGTTTGCTAGCGCGTAAGGGCGAATGCCAGTCATAAGGAATGCGGCTTTCGGTCCACGCCATCCGTCCAATGTGTGCAAGAGGACCTCCATCGAGTGTGCCACAACAGGCCCCTGCTTAGACCGCAGCAATGGCGGCTTCTTGCTGTCGAYGACAATCACCTTACCAACATGGAAGTAGGCAGCATGAAAAATGAATCGGGACAGCCATTGCACCAGCCGCCCTCGTGTCTCGTTGATAAGAAAACCAGGAACACGAGGAACAATGTCATGGGTATTCACAATACGGAGGCATTTGAGCCCTCGTCTGCCAAGCCGTTCAAAAGCATCCCTGAAAGCAGCGTTGCCAACTCTGGGTGCCGCATAGGCGAACACCGTCACGGGTATAACTCGACCCCCCCGCTTAAGTGGGCCATCGTTCCAAGAAGACGATGGCAGTGCAACGCCGYTCGTGCCGTTGCTGCCAGCCTTTATTACCCCAGCGTCAGACCCGTCGTTTTTCTCTAAAGGCACCACATTTAGCCCCGAGTCCACGATGTCGTACGCACTTAGGACTGATAATGCGCCACCCAGACTGTGGCCCACAATCGTGATGGAATCCACGTCATCGTACTTTCGTAGGAGCTGCCTCAGGCTGCGGTGAACTTGGCATCGTGCACTTCCGCGATTGTACAGAGAAAGATCGCTGACCATGCTTGTATACAGTTGCTGAAACCCATGTGACACGCGCACAGCACGCCGCTGAGGGTCTCTCAAGGCTTCTTCGTCGTTGTGGAAGGGAACCTGAAAGAAGGAAAAAAAAACACAGTGAAAAAAATGTTGGTTCAACCCATTGACATGAAACACAATCTCAGAGCAATGGATCGATCAGAGAGGACAATCTTCACACACACACACACACACACACACACACACACACACACACACACACACACACACACACACACACACACACATGCACAGGCACACACACACGCACACACACACAGGCACATGCACACACACACCCACGCACACACATACACCCACACCCACACCCACACCCGCACCCACACCCACAACCTCACAATATACACTAAGTGTCCATGGCATTGAGCATGAGGCTTAGCTCGGTATCACCCCTCTTGGGGAGGAGGATGGGGAGCAGTAAATCCTCCCAAAGCTACAATCGCAGTCACAATTCAAAAACTGTCACACCCCCCTCTGGTTCCTAAATGTGTCTTATTGCTTTTAGATGAGGAAGCCCTTGAAAATTTTCCTAGATGATGGCTCATCGGTTTTCGATAAGGAAGCCCTAGGAAAAAAAAGGAGGCCCATGAATTCAAATGAGACACTGTTTCATTGGATAGCTATCGAGTTATTAACGAGCTATAAAAACTTCAGCTGTAAAGGAAAAATAAATTAAGAGACGAGTTATGRTTGCACTATGGGGCAAGATACAGTTTGCAATTGCACTTGGGGCACCCTACCTGGRCAGAAAGCTGGGTTGTATACATTGCCCGAACTGCAATTGCAAACCGTATCTTGGCCCATACTGCAATTATAAGTTTGATAAATCATTTTGTGACTCCCGCGTAGTTTCCCCATACTGTAAATGGAATACAACAAATGCAAAGAGAACGGGATTCATGTGACATAACACATCATGGCGTTTGAAATTTGAATTCCGAAAAGGTGGAGTGTGAAAGAAAAATGCCCCTCAAAAGCGAGCACACAGTGCCCTTCCTACCTGCCATCCTTTGAAATTCTGTGCCCACTCCAGATCTGCCTGGGTCCCTCTCCACACGACGACAATGTCTCGTCCCTGCTGGCCAAAGCCAGGTTTCCTGTCGCTGATGGCTGTGAAACCAAACCAATTGGTATCAACGAGCGTGGACCCAGYGCCAGGGGCGTCGATGAAGGGGGGGGTTGATGGAGGGAAAATAAGCCTCCATATGAGCCTGAACAGCCTAAAAGGGGTATCTTCTCGTGATGTTGCGAAAAGGTATCGAACGTCCGAATATCTGCGACGGTAGCTCCACCTTGACCTTCTACCTAGCTTCGCCTGGTCCTGGAGCGCGGGCATTCCTGTCCCGGTTACCTGGGCTGGCAGACTGCTRGGGGGGGCAGGATCAGTGTCTTCGTCTGGGCTTGTCCCGTCCCCGAAGGTCGGGGATACCAGGGAATCAAGGAAGTCCTCCGGTCTGGCACACAGAAGATTAAATATGTTCTCAGGTCCAATGACGCACTGTCCGCAGTACCGGCTTGTGCTGTCAAACGTCGTCGCATCGTACGTCAACTGCGCGAGCTCACCATACTTTATGAGCATTCCCTTGAGCGGGCCATAGCGTACGTCGCTAGTTTTTGGATCAATCCAGTCGTCATCGAGGTCAAGCATGCCTGTAGTGCTCCAGTCATCGAAACCCCTGAGCTGCTGCCACGTGTACGATTGCTTAGGCCCTGGCCTCTCAAGGACTCTGTAGGGATCATCTTCGTCTCCGGGACCCCTTCCTCCTGCGTCTGGGATCGGCGTCGTTTGGCTGTTGTTCGGCTGTCCCTCGATTGTTGACGCCACAATGCTTCTGACAGCCCTCCTCCTCAGACCAGTCTGGTCGTCGACGGGATAAACGACTGCATTAGTGGCCATCCCAACTGCATTGCCATTGCCCGTGGTTAGTAGCTCCTCGTCCTTCTCCAAAGCTATGGAGTCCCGAGCTGGAGATGGGCTCGCCATGATGTTGCCTGTGAGAATTACTAACTGCTCTTTTCTGATGCAGTCGCGACCGTGGGGAGCTGCGTTTTACGCTTAGACTTGTACACTCTTCCTGCATCCAAGCTATGGAGTCAAAATGTTCAGGTACGCGAGCTGTAGAACAGCTTTCGACTGACGGCACGGGGAACTCGGATGCTGCCGCTCCAATTCTGTCAGTCTGCTATTCACATGATAGATACCATCTGCTTGCCAGAGGGTGCAGGCAGAGGTTTACTAGATCGTCCTCGTGCTCTTCGCTAGTATAGTCCCCAGGGGTCCAATTTCCTCTTCCTGCATGCTGACCACAAGCAAGGACACGGTCAATGATGAAGAGCAGAGCTGGTATCTGTTCAAAATGCATGTCCAGGTTAATCATGCCAAAAATGGTATTGTTTTCAGCAACACATCGTCAACAAGGACAAACACAAAGGAAGTTATGGAAAAAAAATGAAAAGAAAAGATAAAGAAAGACAGAAGCTGCACGACCGTACATCGGTACGGATGCCACAACCGTACGTCAGTCACAGGAGGATTCCGATTGCCTGCTTCTGGTTGGTTGGTTGCAGTGAGACAGCAACTGCCGCTACGATAGGATTATTCAGCTCGGTTGATGTGTGTACTTGAGCTCGACGTAGGTAACCCGAGTGCTATGATACAAGACCGGAGTGCGAGGCTCCAGGCTGCAGCGAGCCTCGACAGGGGCCACCTAGAGAAAAAATGTGCCTGGCCTTAAGTGAAGGCCACAGAGGCAAGAAAGTACTCCAGCCCTGAGTGAAGGCTGGGGTGATAGAGTTTAAAGGAAGGCTGGACCCCAACCCCTCCAAGTAACCAGGAGGCCCAGCCTCTGATGCAGAGGCCAGGACAGCAGGCGCAAGACCCAGCCCATTGTCAGACGTGTGGCCTCCACGAAGTAATAAAAGGGAGGAGGCCGCTGCATTCAACACATTTGGAGGTACTGTGCCAGCACTACCGTCTTCACCCAAAAAGAACGCCTGGTCATCATAGCTGTGTTTGGCCCACGCTCCAAGTAACGACCCGGCGTTCTATTCGGGTGGAGACGGTAGCTCTGCATGAGCGCATGGCGGCCAGTCCAGCACTCATTGACAAAGGAAGGTGAGGAGCAGCAGTGGTAGCTGCTGCGCCTAACAGCAGCCATAGCTGTGCTGGGAGCGGAAGTGGGTTTGCACTGAGTCTGGTGTAATATGTGTGTGTGTGTGTGTGTGTGTGTGTGTGTGTGTGTGAGAGAGAGAGAGAGAGAGAGAGAGACTCAAACATAGTATGCACCACATAGCAAGGCAACAGAGCAGCACAATGAAGCAAACCACCAACTTGAAAGCAGGAGGGCAACAAAGCAGCAAGGCAGCAAGGCAAGGCAGCAATTGGAGCAAGAGTTAAACTTTTGTATTGCCAACCAATTACAACAAGAGGCCGGGACTTCCTCACAAAGAACCCAGAAAGCTGGGGGCATTACCCAGTTTAAGCCTATGCTGGAAACCGGGTCCAGCGTCCCTCTCTTCCTAACCAATCGATACTCTTTCAAAAATTCTCAACTTGAAGCTCAGAAAATGTGGGGTCTAAAGAATATATCCGGGGGCCCTATTCCAGCAACAGCATCAGGTCCGGTCCAATCGTCACACTCATGATTCTAGCGGACTGGAAGGGTCGATCTACCCTTCCGGCCTATTCTGTCGGATTGGCCCAAGTTTTAGCAAACGGCAGGGTAGATCTCGTCAGCGGTTTACTAAAACTTGGGCCGGGAGTAAAAAGCTGGCCAATGTCACAGCAGAAGGGAAACCATTAATTGGTAAGGGGATCTCATCTATTCGAAACGACTTTCGACGACCGGCCAATCCGACACCTTTCAAAACTTTTTCGAAAGAACTTGTTTCGAAAGGCTGTGTGGCAAAGACATGGCGTCGATTCTGCATGGTGTCGAAAGCCTGTGTGGCGAGCCCCGATGACCGCAGTACTTGCAGTCCTGATGTGACAGCAGCAGTACTTGCAGTCCTGATGTGATAGCAGTCTCGTTTTCAATATCTAGAAATAACGAGAGGAAAGCGACCGTTCGACAGACTTGTCCGAATCATGACTGTACTGGACCTCCGAAAGGACTCAGATAGACTGAAGATAGCATGGAGTTGTGTGCAGCAAACATGAAAGCACACACAGTTTTGGGGGCCAGCGGGCCCCCCAAAAAAATTGCACGGGGGATGCCTCATTTTTGCTGGCCTTGGGAACTTCCATTAGCCCCCTCCCAGACCTTTTTTTGTTTGTCTTGGATGACCCCAAATTTTGCCTTTGCGGCGTTTGCGGCGTGCCGGGTGCGCGGTGCGCGCCACATGCGCAATGCGCCGCAAGTATGCTGCTTTCCCTTCAAGTTGACCACTTTCTCATAGTACTGAGAAACGACAACAAAAAAAAAAAAAAAAAAAAAAAAAAAAAAAAAAAAAAAAAGAAAAGAAAAGAAAAAAAAAGAGAAACAACTTCAGGAGCGTAGGTGCAGAAGGGAGGCTTTGGCTCCTGTGTGGTAATTCCTTCTTTATAACTTTCCTGCTTCTGTCTTGAAGCCTGCAGTCATATTTGTACTTGTTCTTGTCAAAAAAAACACTCAATATATATATATATCTATATCTAATATATATATTGTGAATAAGCCTATAAGGGGCTAATTCTTTTAAGCCCAACCAATTCAATTACCTGTCGAATGTGCAGGAGCTGCACCCACAAAATTGCTCAGTAATTTATCAGCTGAAGCGGGGTAAATTGGGTAATGACCCGGGTGCTTTAGTTGTTCTATTAAGATTTTATAAGGGAGTCTGGGCCCCGTTCCCAGCACGTGCTGCACCCCACGAATAGATCTGAGCTATGTTCCCATAAAAAGGACAAAAGAAAGAGTGGGGCTGCTGGGGGGGGGGGTGTAATGCAAAGACCGACTGGGCCTCCGACCCACTTCTCCCGCCTCCATTGAGTAACAGCAGTGTCCACGGCCAGCACTCATACAACAAACACAACCCTCCCCCACCCCCTCCACACACACACACACACACACACAGGGGCTCGTTCGACACTCCTTGGGGCGTCCTCGGGGCCGAAGGAAGTTTTCTTGGGTGTTTTCAAGGAAATTCCCGCCATCGTTCCACCTGTCCTCGGGGACGTCGCCCGAGGACATTTCCTTCGAAAGATGTCAGACAAGAAAAAAGAAAAAAGAAAAAAAAAAACAAATGTGTTTGAGGCCTTCACAATCCAGATTCTCGGTTGTAACGTCTCTCTACCCATGTGCCCGCTCCTCTCCGTGAAACGCGGATTCCTTTTGCCCAAGGGACCTCGTGAGGTCCCTTGGGCACAAGGAAGAAATGGCTGGGTAATCCTCGGAGCCCAAGGAATTTCCTTCAGAGTGTTTTCACTTTTTATTTTTCCGACTGCATCCCCGAGGATAGGTGGAACAAACACTTCCTCAGGGACTTTACGCGCCCGAGGAGTGTCGAACGAGCCCCCCCCCACCACCACACACACACACACACACACACACACATTGGTGTAAGTACAATCGACCACTTTTCTCAGGGGTATCGCTACATCAGACTGGTAGACGTGGTGAGTGCTTATCCATCAGTCAAAGGCATCCTGGGCAGACTGTCTGTCCTGGTTCAACCTCCTGATGAGTCGGTGAAAGTCCAATGAATCAGTCTGGTACAGTCATGCTTTTATTTGTGGAGTTGTCTATAGCGACCATGACAGTACACACTCACACCCGTGATGGCCAAAGACCCTACCAATACGGAGTGGGGGGAGCAATCCAACTATCTCGGTTGTTTGGCACCAACCGTGACCAGGCGGTCAGTTGGGTTTGAACCCACCATCTCTTGAATGCCACTTGTGTGCCTAACCAGCTGAGATAGGCAGCTTTGCTCTGGCTCCACCACTCACCAAATGTGCAAAATGAGAATGAATCTTCTGCTACAACGTGGGAAGATACACCACCACCACCACCTTTTTTTTTGTCTTCTGTGCCTGTGGTGAGTAGTAGGACATTCTCCTTTTTTTTTTTTTTTTTTTTTTTTTTTTTTTTTTTTTTTAAGAACAACTCGCTTCAGACTACCAGGGGTGCTGATATGAGCAGACAGATGTCGCATATCTTGCATATTTCGTTCCCAACACTCTCTATGGGAAGCTCTTGAAAATCGGTAGAGATCCCCGTAGCAGCCACATCTGTGCTCAAGCCTCCAACGAGGGAACATGCGGGAGCTGCACCCATCAGCAGGTGCGACACCTGCTACAGCAGGTGGGCGATACCGGCCAGGGGTCAGCCGGTAGCATCAGGACCGAGCTTCTTCGATGGGCCAGTCACTGTGCCTCGCTTCCGGTCCCCTCCCCCTATGAACATCAGCAGTCTCTGCTCTATAATGACAAAAAAAAAGGCCTGAAAGGCCGTCTTGTCCAGATCTGAGAGGTAATTGAATTGGTTGGGCTTAAAGAATTAGCCTTAAAAAAAAATAAAAATAAAATCGGTAGAGAGCTGTTGAGAGGATCCCATCCATAGAGAGAGAGTACTGCACACTCTCGCAAACCCAGAGCCCCCCCAAAAAAAAAAAAAAAAAAAAAGACCAGAGCCCTCTCCACATACATCTCTGTGTTGAGGGTTGGGAGTCCGATGTAGTTCTAATTTCTTTTCTCTCTTCCTTTTTTTTTTTTTTTTCGCTCCTCGTTCCTTCCTCCTGTTGACCGCGAAATGCCTCCATCTCGCCCATGCCGCCACGTCACATGATGGCAATGACGTCAACTGGATCCGTCTTCGTCGGATGGACAGGGGGTGGATGGCAGGGGTTAAGAGAGGGAGGGAGATTTCACCGGTGCCCCCCAGTGCCCCTCTCCAACTCTCGACCCAGCTGCAGGATAGGCAAGGCAGTGATGGTTTGATGACTTTGAGATGGGACGCTGGACCCGGTTTCCAGCACAGGGCGGCACCTGTTCCATTGAGCTATTAAAGATGTATTCAAAATGTATCATGGGACGCTGGACGCGTTTTCCAGCAGGTGAAGCTCCCCACCAATAGA